ATTCAACAATTTATAATCCAAGGGCAAATGTATTGGCGGAAGCTTTCAACAAGATGCTGATAAAGTTACTTAAAAAGATTTTCATTAAAAATAAAAGAGAATGACATAATAAAATGATAGAGGCATTATGGACATATCAAACTACTTACAAAATGCCAACCAAAGCCACTCTTTATGTATTAGTGTTCGGACCTGAAACATTACTGACACTTGAAATTGAGTTGTCATAACTTCAAATAGCTGTTCAATACAACCTCATGGAAAAATAAATGCTCGCTTATGAATGGAAGAGTTCGATGCAATAGATAAAGTCAGATCCTAAGCTTAACAGAATTTACCTTTGACCGTATGGTACACTATTGAGATTTTTAAGAAGAAAAATTAGTCTTGGTGCTGAGAAGACTAATCAGCCCACACCGGAGAATTAGTGGTAAATTTAAGCCTAATTGGAAGACCATTTTGTTATTAAAAAAGTATATCATGGAGGAGCCTATCAACTTAACAATATGGATGGTTAAAGACTTATATCGTCGATTAATGGGAGATACCTGAAGAAAAATCATTCTTAAAAAAGCAAACGAGAGAATTTTAAATTTTTTTTGCTAAATTAAAAATATTCTCTATGCAAGTATGCCAAAATCTTCTTGAAATTCTCACACCAGTTGAGAACTCGTTTTAAAAATGTAATGAAAATTATACTAAGATTTTTTAGAAATTCTCTTGTAAAGCAAGAACGTAATTTTAGAATATCATTAAAAGTGTGTTATGCCCTTTCTTAAAATTCTCTTATAAAGTAGGAATGCATTTTAAGACATCATAAAAATTCCCTTGCAAGACAAGAGGCATTTTAAAAATTTAAATTTTAAAATATAATGATAGTCAAAATTTTCCTCTAAAATAGGGTATTTTAAATATTTATTTGGGTCAACATTGTACTTTAAACCAAGATCCTCAAATAAATATTTAAAATCACTAATGATGATATCAATGTCACTATATAAATGTAGGACTGAAGTTGATGCCTTCAAGCAAGCAAATATGTGATCATTGCAAAGGTTTAAGATTCATTTCCAAAATTGTCAAGATTCAGAAGTTCAAATGACGCAACTTTTTTTTTAGTTTAACAACCTCAACAAATCAAGTTAAAAAAAAAAAAAAGAGTTACTATAGTATAAGTCCAATGCTCGAACAATTATAGTGTCAGACTTAACAAGCTCAAATGATTTTAACAGCCTTACTTACACAATAAGCAATGATAAAATGTCATAGGAAAACCCCCTATTTTTATTTAGCCCAATAACAAATTTTAAAAAGTATAGAACTTATCAATTTTGAGAAGTTGGAATAGTTCAAATTTATGAGATTTTCTCAATTAACAATAGATTAAAACAAAGTCAAGAAGACAAATCTCATTCAACTAAAGACACCAAGCCACAATCAATATCTCTATTAAATTAGAAGCGTTATTCCTTTCAGCGAGTCTATTAAGCACAAAGCAAAGATTGAAGGAGCTCCTCTTCTTCAACATGTCAGATAAAGCACAAATCTCAGGACCGAAGAAATCATCCCGTAGTTCTTACAAAGTCCCAGGCTGGACTAAGGGAATATTGTCGTCAATAAAGTCTATTATACATAAAACTCTAGACTGACTATCTGCTATCAACCAAACAAAAGCCTTAAAGTCTGGGTCGCTGGTATGAATCCTTCACCAAGCCTGTGAAAGTATGAAGCTAAGGCAGAAGGCATATTATACTCCTAAAAAGTCAAGAAAATAAATAAGGCAAACTCCTTTGTCAAACCCATTAAGGTTGGATGCTAGGACTGAAAATATATTTAAACCCTAACAAGTCGAATAAGATAATTTAGGTACCTAAAAAGTCAAATAAGAAAAATCAGCACATGCATTCAACATAAAACATCGGATTAATAACACCCTCTATTGGTATACTAAACTACCATCAATCAAGTTAAAAGATACTAGATTTTAACGCTTAGCTCTCAATAAACTAAAAGAGCTCACATTCATTAATAAGGCTAGCAAATACACAAAACTTTGAAAGAAATGTAACTGCTGACTAAAAAAAATGCTTAAAACCATGACCTTCATTGGAAAGTTTATCGAAATATCGTATCACCTATATTGAATATCTACTTCTAAGAAAAATACTTTTAATATTCATTCTTAATGCAATTTACTTGAACTAAATCTTTATTTTTAGTATCTCTTTACTTGACATACTTATATATACAGCATTCATCCTCCTTAGTATATAATATATTATATAAATCACCAAAAGCTAAATTATTTATATCATATATTGCTTTTTTAGAGTCTCTACTGGCCCCTTTATATTGTTTTCTAATCTTTTGAACTTTTACATATAAATTAATTTTTATAATAAAGTTTTTTATTTTTTATCATTTTTTTGCACATTTTGATTCCACCACTAACTATTTTTACTATTAAGAGTTTTTTTTTATTATCCAAGCACATACATTATAACCTTTTAATATCACTAGCTACTTTTACTTTTTTCCATATAGCATTAGCTTCAACATGAATAAATTAAATCTTAAGATCTTGAATCTTACCCTCTAAAAATATTTTTATCAGTGTTCTTTAAATACACTCATCTAATTCTAGGACAATATTTTTATTTTATTTTTTCTTTTCAACCCCCTTCATCTTAAAGTCCAAACTAATAAATGATGTCAGACACATAAACTTTCTTTAAATATTACATCTTTTAAGTGTCATAATACACTCCTTAAATAACACTAAAGTAAAAAAGTTATAGCATTGAATAATAACATCTTAAAATATCATAATAATTAACCAAATGCACAGAATTTTAACAATATCACTAAAATCTATTAGCACTGGCATCGAAATAACACTAAACAAAACAATCCATTATTAGTACTTCACATGATTAAATCTAAGTAGGTTGATGATCTCTCTTCAAACCTCATAATATCATTTGATAATAAACAATGTTTTACAAAAAGACAAAAAAAAAGTTTTAGAACCAATCATGTGTAGAAAAAATAAATCAAAATTCAATATTTGAAATTTCACCACATTAGTTTTTCGCAGAGAGAAAGTAACCATGAACTAAAATTGTGAATAACAAGAAATAAGGAGGTGCTCTGATGAACCAAGTAAGCATGCCATGAGTGAAAGATGGTGACCTAGCAGATGAGATCAACTAGATTATCCAACCATAAAAAGAAAGTAAACCATTGGGTTGTTTGACTATAAGTAACATTTAGTAAATCAAGATTTAATAAATCTTGAGGAATTTAATTTGGTGTGATTTGTTGGATTTAAATTTATCCGTAGATGATACCCGACTTTACTAGCAAACAACATCTAAGATGAGGACCTAATAAAAGAAAAGAGTAAGGAAGTCTGAATGAAGAATTGAAAAATTAAAGTTGCAAGGATACTCTAGGGGTTAATATTGCTAGAAAAGAGACAAAATATGTATCTCCACTCTTCATTTACAGAGATCTGACGGCTACAAGAAAATCTGCATAAAAAGTATATCATTATTTGCAATCCATTATAGACTGCACATGACATTTGTCGTGGTTTGATAGGTGTCCACATGGTTCTTCATTTTGGCCTAGTTCTCAGTTTCAAGGCGAGCCGCCTAGGCAAGTCTTCGCGAGAGACGGTATGATGAGTCATCTGGGCATGTTAATAAGTTTGTAGGTACAATTCTTAAAATTTTTAGTGTGAATGACAAATCCTTTTGGGTCATAATAATCGCAAGCTATGTATTGACTGAGTCCAAAGGACCGAGCTCTTTACCATTTGAGATGGATATTCCTTGTAGCTAGATTGGAGGGTATTAATAGCAACATGCTAATTTGAGCGAGGTCGAGTAGCTTTTGGCGGTTGATCCCTGTCGAGGAGGAGAGTCCTTAAGAGCTTGGATGGATTTGTATGAGTTCCTTGTAGCTCATGTAAGAACCGACTCTCTAACTTGATTGACCTGGCCGAGTCACGTTCCTGAGTTGGCAAGATACTATGGAAAGTGGGTTGATCATTTTAGTTGAGTTCTTGTTATTAGAAACTATTAGGTATGAGTTCTTCTATATGAACCTAAATAAGTACCTATGAAAGATCTACATGGGCATGTACAAGTATACATGACTGATTGATGTTCAATTTGGTTAAAACCAAATAAATATTTTGACATATTTTTAAGATTTGTATTTAAATGAATGTGAAAAAAAGGCATGACGTGGTGAAGTGGAATAAATCTCTTAAATTCTAATACTTATGGTATTTACCATATTCAAATTTTAGTCTAAAATGAGAGGAAAATGGGATTTAAGAAAGTGGCAAGAAATATGTAGCTCGAAAAACTATTTAGCAATGTTTAGACTAAAATTTAATAAATCTTGCAACCAAATAACTCCTTTTATGATCTTATCATTGTGCTAGAATAAAGTGGGTATAACTAGCATTTATAATGATTAAATACAAACTTCTACACTTCATAATACCAATGGATAATAATCGACTTTAAAGAAAAAAGTTTCAAAACCAGTCACGCGTCAAAAAAAAAGAGCATTTACATGCATAACATATAATATTTGTATATTTATCAAATTAATACCCTCTTACATCCATTTTTTAAATTCTCATATAAATATCAAAATTCATAACAAAACTTAAACCTCTATTTTTCGATTTTGTCAAATTCCAATAGTTAGATCATGACACGGACAAATAGCCGAGTTTTATAGTTAAAAAGAATGGCATGGACTTTAATTTTGTAAAAAGATAAATTCTGAGAGTTATGCATGTAATCCCTCCTAAAAAGTCTAAAAACGGAAACAACAACTTGAAATTTCAAATAAATGATTATTTTTCAGGTGATTCAAAACTAGGTTAACTAAAAAGAATGATGAACTAAAAAAAAACAGCGACCAAGAATTGACACAGTGGATAAGCAAGATGAAAGAAACGAGGATTTAGGTTAAACCAAATCGGTGCCATGATTGGGAGACGGAGGCCGAGCGGACGAGATCGGTCGGGTCATCCAGACACCGTAGAACAGCGGCGGAGAGGTCAGGCCCAAGCCGCTCAAGCAAATCCCCACCGCCCCGTTCCACCATTGCTGTTCACAAAAACGCCGATCAGCAGCTTTGCGCGTGCGCTGTGAGAGACAGATGGGAGGGAATTCAAGCCTTATGGCGGCAAAGATTGATATGTGATCGAAGAGATGTCGTGCGGTCGGCCGAAGCTTGGTGGTAACGAGTATAGTACAACGAGAAGATACATTGGGATTGATAGTGATTCCAAGAATTCTTATAATTTTCTTTTGGGTTTTATTAGGAGATTTTAACTGTCGTTGATTTATAAATGAAAATTTTAGAGATAATTTTATTCTTAATAAATTGTGAGAATTTAATAATTTTATTTTTAATTTTGCTCTTATAGAACTCATTTCTATTGAACATTTTTTTACTTGATTTAATTAATAATGTGACTACCCAATTCATACTAAATTGGATAGGACTTCCATTAAAAATGTTTTGCTTGATCTCTTTCCTTCTTATTATTTAGTGAAAAATCTCAATTGTTCTGATTATTCTCATCTTATTATTTGTAATAAAAAATTGACTTTTATGAGTAATAGATTTATGTTTAAGAATTTTTGTTATAAAAGATCTGAATTTTGGGATTTACTTAATGAGATTTTTGCTAAGTCTCCTGTTGGAAATCCTATTAATAATCTCTATTTCAATTTGCATATTTCTTAAAGGTATCAGTAAGAAAATATCTTGTGCTTCTTCTAAACATATCTCCACTACTATAGAGGCTCTTCAAAAATAGCAAGGTTTTTTTGTTAAATCAGATCCTTTGGATCATAATCTCAACTTAGCTTTAAAAGAAGTTAATGGCCTTCTTAAATTTAATTTGTCTTTATGTCTTCTTCGATTATTCAAAGGACAAAAGCTAAATGGTTATCATGTGGGGATGATGATTTGGATTTTCTTTATTCTTGTTGTAGACAAAACATTAATAGGATCAATGTAATTTTTCATCTAATGGGATTGTCTCTGATCCTGGGGGTATTTCTGAAGTTTTGTATAATATTTTAAGAATGTTTTTAATTCCCCTAAATCGGTTTTAACTTCTTGTAATAATATTTTGATTGGTCAGGTTATTCCTGATATTCTTATTTCTTCTCTTATTTTTGGTTTATGTAGAAGTGATTAAGAAGATTATTCTTTCTCGTCCTTCTTCTTCTACCCTTGTTCTTGATTAATTTACTTTTGAATTTTATAAGAATTATTGGGATATTGTTGGACCTACTTTTTGTAAAGCAATTCTTTATTATTTTAATTATGGTTTTATGACTAGGGCTTCCAAAGATAATTGTATATCTCTTATTCCTAAGAAGGAGAATTCCTCTTATGTTTTTGACTTTAGATCTATTTCTTTATGTAATGTCTTCTATAAGACTATGGCAAAAATTTTGGATAACAAGATGCAATGTGTTATGTCTTATATTATTCATTCTAGTCAAGCTAGTTTTATTAACAAGAAAATATCTATGGATAATATAATTCTCACTTATGAACTTTTAAGGGAATTCAATATCATTGTTAGAGATTTTTTTTTGAAAAGTTGGATATTCATAAGTCCTTTGATATTGTCTCTAGAAATTTTTTGCTTGCTAGGATGGCTCAAAAATGGTTTCCTCAGATTTTTATATCATGGGTAAAAGGTTGTATTGAGGATATGTTTTTCTCTTTTGTTCTTAATGGTTCTCTTAACAATTTTTTTTTACTCCTCTTTGGGTCTTCATCAAGGATGCCGTCTTTCTCCTGATCTTTTTCTGCATAGTGATGGATGCTCTCTCTATTCTTCTTGGTGAGAAATCTCAAAATGTAAGTTTTGAGGGGGTTAATGCGGGTGAGACTTCTTTATCTCAACTTTTATATGTTGATGATGTTCTTATTTTTGGTAAAGCTTCCTTTGAGAATGTTGAGAAGCATATTTTGGATTATTTTTCAAATACTTCAAGTATGTTTATCAAAAATTCTAAAAGTTCAATTATTTTTTCAAAATGATTGTCATATGGCAGATGGTATCAGTCAAATTCTAGCTGTTGTTATTTCTCAACATCCATTAAAATATTTGGGTTTGCTTATTTCCTGTAATAGACATAAGATTTATGATTATCAACCTTTACTTAGTCATATGACTGGGCTTTTGCTGGGCTGGAAAGATAAGATTTTAGCTTTTACAGAAAGGGCTCAATTTCTTAAGTTTAGTATTTCTAATATTGTTTCTTATTAGGTTAAGGGGATTTCTCTTCCTAAATTCTGCTTTAAAGTTATAAGAAAAAATTGTTCTAATTTTCTTTTTTATGGTGATTCTTCTAGTAGGAAGATTCACATTATTGCTTGGAAAGAGGTTTGTAAGCCTAAAAATATTGGTTGGCTTGATATTTTTGATCCAAATGCACTTTATTTTGCCTATAGTTGTTCTCTTATTTGGTGAGTTGTTAATCTTTCTTGTCCTTTAGATAGTTGGATTAAATAAAAGTATATTTCTTTTTGGAAGCCTATTTCTCAAAATGTCTCTATTTTTTAGAAAAATATTTGTTTTATTGCTAGAGACATTGAAACAAAGATTTTGTTCAATATTTTTCCTAATAGTTATCTTTCTCTTTTTTGGGATCCTTGGCGTGGGGGGAGAGCTCTTCATGAACTTATTGGTTATAGCTCGGATTCTTCTCTGAGTAGAAGTATCGTGGGGGATTGGATGATGGAGGGTTGTTGGAATTTTCCAAATTTAATTCCTTCTAAAATTATTTTGGCTGTTTCTAATATTTCCATTGATAATCAGAAGGATTCTAATATTTCTTGGGGTGGGGTGCTTCTTCCCTCTTTCAAGATGTTTCACAATGCTTTTTATAATAATTTTTCTAAGTTGGAGTGGTGCTCTTATATTTGGCATAAGATATATGCTATGAGATTTTCTTGCTTCGCTTGGATGGCTATTTTGAAAGGACTAAAATCAATTGATATCCACGCTAAAAGGAATTTGAATGTTCCTCTTACGTGTTTTATTTATTTTAAAGACGAGGAAAGTAATTATCATCTTTTCTTTAAGTGCAATTTCTCTTTTTGCATTATTTCTAAAATTCTGAAGGGATTAAATTTTTTTTCTTATGCCTAGTTTGTTCCAGCTGTTAGATTTTATTTTTTTCGCTTAACCTAGATTCGAATGTTAAAATTTATATTTCATGATTGCTTGTTGTTCTATTTACTTCATTTAGAAAGACATAAATAGCAGAAGTTTTGAGAATAAGCATTGTTGTGTTGATTTGATTTGTAGGCATATTAAATTGTTATTTTAGCAAAAATTTCAAATTGGGGTTCTTTTCATGATATTAAGCATTCGGTTTGTTAGGTTTTTGTTTTGGTTAGTTTGTTTAGTTTTTTAAAGAGGTCTTTAATTAGGGGTGAGTTTTTTTTTTTTTTTTGTTAGTTACTTTTTCTGGATGGTTTTTTGTTTTGATTTGGTTATTTATATTTTTTGACATTGATGATTGGGTACCTCTATTCTTTTCTTGGAAGGATGGTTTGGCAACCAGATCTTTTTCCTTGGATGGCCATATCTTGAAACCAAGGATTGATATTTTTTTTTGGAATGATTCTTCGACTGGGCTATTTTTGGGAGGATTTCCCATATATGAGTCCTATGTTGGATACCAAATTGTGGTTTGGTTTGTTGTAGTTATATCAATATTTCAGGATTCTGGACGGGTTTGGAGTAGTACAACATTGGAAACAGATATGTGGTTTGGTTTTTTGCAATTATATTAGTATTTCAGGATTCTAAATTGGTTTGAAGCGTTGGATCTTTTTGGAGCTCTATTATGTCATCAATAATACAAGCAAACAACCATACCAATGATTAAATTTCTTTATTGGCTTTACTAATGGTCATATACTTTTTATAATAGATAGAATTGAAGGCTTTAAGAGGGTTTGAACCTTGGATGTTGGACTTGGATGGGCTTGGAATAGTGGAAATGCTTGGAGGCTGGTTCTTGATATAAGAATTTTCTGATGTCTACACCACCATTATTTCTTAAAGTAGTTTTTTAGTATAAAAATTAAAATTTTAAAATTATAAATCTATTTTAAGAAGCATTATGAAATCCATCCCAAGATAAACCTTAAATTTTATATTTTATATATAAGTGGTGGTGTAGTTTTCATTTTCAACTTACACTCTGTCGGCATCCTGTGCTTAGTTGGACAATGTTTCCATTTTTAACAATGGTTCTATTCACCTTGCCGACAATGAGAGTTGTATTAGTCTTCATTCCCTATGGGAGACCAACCTTATCGTCATGGTCCAAGTTAGGGTAGACTTCATGTATTTCAGCATCCAATAGTTAGGTGGCTTCCTCGATTTGAAGATCTTCTCATTGAATGAGATTTTGTGTGGTTATAGTATCCCATTTGAGTAGGCAACTCTGGATGAAGGTTGGTTTCATGTCTATATGATTTAATAAAGGAGACATGGAAAATCGAGTGTACTCTTGAATATGCAATTTGAACCATTGAGACTATTCATTCTCAAATTTTGAAGGGCCCAAAGTATCTTTTCCCAATGGAAAACTATATAGGAATGTCCAGTCATATGGTTGAATTTCGACCAGATCTAGATCATTTTTCTTGAATTGAATGTCATAATGATACTTTATTCAAAGATTTTGGAAAAATATAGGCGTCGACCTTTGGATTGTTGCTCAAATTTTGTTTGTGCTAAGGTGAATACTCTGAGAGGAGATAATATGGCGAAGATAGTCATGTTTCACTACCAATCATTGTAAGTGAGGTTCATTATCATATAATATCATATGAGTAATAATAGTTAAAAGACATAGTATAAGAGAGTCATCATCCCTAGCCCATCGGTACTTTAAGTCATATCACATCACAACTTTATATCTTCCATCATGTATTCAGTTTATACAACTAACTCATATTTAATTAAAAGTTTATTGGCTCACCCTCATGCATAAGGTATTATGTCTCCAACATCCTAAAGAATAATAGCTACCTTCTCTTACATACACACATTTCATGATATGCATTACCAAAATATATAAACTATATCTACTATGAATGTCATCATTTTTATATTAATCTAATTTGATAATTATTTATCAAAATTTTGAATTTATTTGCATTACTAAAATTAGGATATATACTCCAAAGATAGAAATACACATTGAAACTCTAATATGATCATGTCAATATGTGTAGAATAATT